GGGATGGGATGGGATGGGATGGGATGGTGATGGCGTTGGGGACAGGGATGATACAGAAGGATGGGGACACTGGGGAAGGTTCGAGCGCTGGTCCCCGAGGGGCTCCGCCGTGTGCTGCCCCGGAGGGTGCCCAGGGGCCGTTCCCCCGCCCCCGCTTCTGGCGGCTGCCGGAGCCGGGCCGAGACGAGGGGTGCGTGCGCCCACGAAGGGTTAAGGGGGGCGGGGGGCTGCGGGGAGGGGGGGTGTCGGCTCCGCCCGCTCCCGCCGTCCCCGGGAGATATTGTCATGCAAAAGCCCCCGGCGAGCGCAGCCTTTGTCCGCGCTCCCCCCGCCGGTATATTAACGGGCCGGGGCGGCGGCGGCGGGGGCGGGCGGGGGCCCGGCGGGCAGGAGGCGGCGGGGACGGGCGGGCGGCAGACGAGGCCGCACCGGGCTCGCCATGGACTACTCCTACCTCAACTCCTACGAGTCCTGCGTGGCCGCCATGGAGGCGAGCTACGAGTTCAGCCCCTGCAGCCAGGCGGGCTCCTTCCAGTACAGTCCCATGCGGGGGGGCTTCGGGCCCGCGCCCGCCTGCGCTCCCCTCGCCTCCGCCAGCTGCGCCCTGGGCGCCCTCCGCGACCACCAGCCCTCGCCCTACTCGGCAGGTAAGGGACAGGGACCCCCGACCGCCGGAGCCACCATGGACACCCCCCGAGCGGCCCCTGGACGGGCGTGAGGGAGCGGCCGCGCCGTCGGGGCTGGCAGGGATCGGAACTGGCAGGGACCGGGGCCGCCGGGGCTCGGGACCGGCGGCTGCCGGTGATGTCAGGGCTCGGTGCCATCGGTTGCCGGAGCCGTCGGTGTCCTGCACCGTCAGTGCTCGGTGCTGTCGGTGCCCGATAATGTCAGTTCCCGGAACGCCGCTGCCCTGTACTGTCAGGACTCGATGCCGACGGTGCCTGTTACTGTCGGTTCTCGGTAGCGCCGGTGCCCGATACCATCAACTCCCGGGGCCGTCGTTGCCCAGTACCGTCAACTGCTCGGTGCTGTCGGTGCCCGATACCATCGGTTCCCGGTGCCGACAGTGCCCGTTATTGCCAGTTCCCGATGCCGCTGATGCCCGGCACTGTCAGGATTCGTAGCCATCGGTTCCCGGTACCGCTGGCGACCGAWACCGTCGGTTCCCGGTGGCCCCAAGTGCCCAACACCGTTAGTGTTCGATGCCGCCGGTTCCCGGAACCGTCTGTTCCCGGTGCTGCCAGTGCCCGTTCCYGCACCGTTACCGGCACTGTCGGCTCTCGGTACAGTCGGCTCCCGGTACCGTCAGTGCACGCAGCCACTAATGCCCGGTGCTGCCCGGTCCCGTTGCCGCCGGTGTTTGGCACTGTCCGGCTCGATGCCGTCGGTAACCGTTGCTGTCGGTCCTCGGTCCCGTCAGTTCTCCGTGACATCGATTCACGGTGCTACCGATTCCCGGCACTGCTGGTGCTAGGTGCCGCCGGTTCCCGGTGCTGCCGGTGCCCGCAACCCAGGCTGACCCTGCCTGGCTCGGTACCCACCGTCCCCCGTACCGCTCTCCCCGCTCGCCTCCGCCGGTGGGGATGAACCCCCACAAGCACGGCCGCGGATCCCCGGGGATCCCTGGAGCGGTGGCGGCCCCAGAAMGGGACCGGGGAAGGTCCCCGCCGCTGGGACCCCACTCCCCGCTCCGCATTCGTTGCCGCCGCGGAGACGCTGCCTTTGSTTGCGCCGACAACGAAGGAGCTGCCGATCGGTACCGGCTGCCCCATCCGCCCTGGCAGCGCATCGCCCCCCAGCCCCGCTCCTGCCCTGAGGTCCCGCGTCCCGCCGGCAACGAATGAACGGAGCCGGGGGCGCAGCGGGGGCAGAGATCCAGCTCTGCCCTCGCGTCTCCTTCCCTGCCCGCCGAGTCCTGCCTGGTTCATCCTGCCCGGTTCATCCTGCCCGGTCCATCGTGCCCGTTCCAAACCGATTTATCGTGCCCGGTCCATCCCTTCTCAGTTCATCCCAGCCCGATTCATCCTCCCCGGTACATCTAKCCTTGGTTGATTCCTCTGCCCGGTTCATCCTCTGCCCGGTGCATCCCTTGCCCGTTTGTCTATTTTMTATTTGTTTGTATTCCCGGTCTATTTTTTCCTGGTCGATCCTTGTCCAATCCTTCCCTACCCCGTCCTTCTCTACCTCGTCCTTCGCTTCCCGGTGCATCCCTCCCAGTTTATTTATCCCTGGCCAGTGTCTCCTGCCCGGTCCATCCCTTCCCATTCATCCCTGCCCGATTCATCCCTGCTCAGTCCATCCTTGCCCTGTGCATTCCTTCCCAGTTCACCGCTGCCGAGTTCATCCTCCCCGGTTCATCTATCCCTGGCCAGTGTCCCCGCCCGGTCCGTCCCTTCCCGGTTCACCCCTGCCCGATTCATCCCTGCCCAGTCCATCCCTGCCTAGAATCTCATGCCTGGTGCATCCCTTCCCGGTCCMTTCCTTCCGGATCTATCCCTTCCTGATGGCCCCTGCCCAGTGTCCCCCAACGTCCACCCTCCCTCTTTACCGGCCGCACTGACCACCGCCCCCCCCGTTTCCCTCCCAGTTCCCTACAAATTCTTCTCGGACCCGTCGGGGATCAACGAGAAGMGGAAGCAGCGGCGGATCCGGACAACATTCACCAGCTCCCAGCTGAAGGAGCTGGAGAGGGTCTTTGCCGAGACCCATTACCCCGACATCTACACCCGCGAGGAGCTGGCCCTCAAGATCGACCTCACCGAGGCCCGGGTGCAGGTCAGCTCCGGGGAGGGCGGAGGGGGCCGGGACAGTTGGGGATGGAGGAGGGGCGCTCTAATCCCGCCAGAGCAGGGACACTGAGCGTGGGACGCTGCCGTTCTGGGATTTCCGCTCCCTGCATTGGGAGGGAGAACAGGAAAGAATTCGGGCTTGGCASCACCGCGTTCAGGGGACGCGCTGCCGACACACCCTTGCTCTGCTGGGAGCTCTGGGGACGCTCCCGGGGCTCAGACAGGCTCCCAGTGGAGTGCGGGCATTGGTTCATGCCCCAGCACTGCCACTGYCACCAATGATTTAGTCCAGTCCCAAACACCTTGAGGTTGGTGAGAGTCCATGGAGGAGAGAGAATGGCCTTTTGTGGGTGCAG